TTTATATAATATTTTTGGTCTAAATAATATTTTGGTCTAAATAATACTTTGGTTTATATAATATTTTGGTCTTTTTGTATAATATTTTTGGTCTAAAAGACATGCCCAGAAATGAGCTACTGGCTCATTGCAAAGATTTGGAAATAGTTTTAACTGATGGAAATTCAAGCGATCTTAACGCCCTGGAACTAGCCGATGAAATAAGCATTGTTTCGTCATTATTAACAAAAAAGGAAACCCCTGTTGAAGTTCTCAAGTTTATCGCTACACTTAAATTAGCACCAAACCTCAGCATAGCATTAAGAATCCTACTTACATTGCCAGTCACTGTGGCTTCAGGGGAAAGAAGCTTTTCAAAACAAAAAGTAATAATAAATTATCTCAGAACGATGCAGACGCAAAATCGGCTCAATGGATTGGCAATGATAGCTATAGAACACCAAATAAGTGACAAATTAGACTTGAAATCACTGGTTCATGAGTTTGCCGTGCCGAAGGAAAAGTTAGAAAAAGGGCATTTTAATTACTTTGGTTAGTTAGAATTTATTTATAATATGGGATATTAGTTTAGTTAGCATTACTACACTTTAATCTTTGTTATTTTGCCTTAAATGCTAAATTGCTTATCTTGTCATCTGATGATTGAGTTTTTAATAAAACGTTTTTTTTTTTGTATTTTTTTCAATGTTTTCTTGACTTTCTGATATGGTCGCATGAGATTTACTTTAAAAAAAAGGGGGGAGGGGCGCAAAATTAAGGTTTCGCCCGGAGCTCCAAAATGTCTAGGGCCGGCCCTGGCAGTTATGAGCAAGGCAGGTATTAAAAATATGTGTGATTTTACAGATATAGTTGTTTGGTAATAGTTTAATCATTTTATTCTTTATCCCATCCTCTCCTGGAGCTTTATTGTTTGTCAGTTTTTGTATAATGTTGCTAACTTCTTGATTATTTATTGCTGAATTGTTCCTGGGATGAGGAGTTTAGTTTGAAAATTATTAACTTCTTCTGTGACGATATTGTGAAGATTTTTGCCAAAGTTGATACTCGGGAGAAATTGATTTTGAAGTGAATGTGCGAATATTTCGATTTTTTCTGCTTGTGCCAGATGGTCCATTCATTGATCCGTCTATTTGAGGATTTGTTTTCAGTTTGTTGGCCATTTTCTGTATAGAGTTGTCGGTGATACAGAGAGGCGACTTTTGATTGCCGCAATTGTTTTTTATATTTTTTACTATGTTTTTGAATCTGGTTATTGAGTTGTTTTATTTCGTCTAGGTGTGCTGGGTCGTAAGTTCTTTGGTACAACTTCCTGTGCGAGTTCCTTAATCTTATTATGTTCTTTATTTCAGGTGGTAATCAGTAATGATGGGCAGCATACTTGGCTTCTGTGGAAGCATTTTTGAAAGTATCTGTTATTTCATTTTGGATTTGTTGTATATAATTTTCTATTGCAGTTTCGTATCCAAGATTGGCAGGTCTGTTCCATTGATTGTAAGAATGTTTTGATAATAGTTCTAGTCAGTTTTATAATTTGGTTCTTCATATTGTTCTATAGTTATCTATGGTTCCTGGTTTTGCTAGAAGTGCAACACCACCCCCTCTGTAAATTCTTACACCTTCTATCTCTTTTAACTGCTTGTTGTTTTCCTTCGTCACTGATTGTTTTTCGTTGATTGTTATTCGTATTGGCTTTTGTTGATAATTTCTTTGGATTTTTTCTTCTTAACTGGAGTATCTATGGAAATCGTTTGTTGATTTCTTATAGATTTCTGCTCTCTTTTCTTAATTCGGCATTTTCAGCTTGGAGTTTATCGATACTTAGTTGTAATGTGATAATCTTAGTTTCAAATATTGTTTTGATGTCATTTAATTGCTGAAATTGAGGTTTATTGATTTCGGTTTGTTGTTTTACTAAATCCATGGTGTCCATTACCCAGCTGGGAACGGCACTTTCACTGATTTTGACAGTATTGGACATTATAATGTAATTGTAAGCAAAGAGTAATTAAAGAGTAATTGTAAGCAAAGAGTAATTAAAGAGTAATTGTAAGCAAAGAGTAATGTAAATTTATGAATTATAAAATTTATGAAATACAGTTTATCTGCACTTACTTGAAATAAATGTAGCTACCGCTTCTCAAAAAATATATCCAGTAATGTAGAAAATGAAATAGTGATTTGGCATACACTTTATGATGATGAAAAAAAAAATAGTCTTAGTGCAACTCGCACTATGCAGTTGTATTTGTGGATTTGTTTGGAAGAATTACGCGTCGATGTATCACCGTTGTAGCACAAAACACAAATACATCAGTTTAAATAATAGTTCACGGCAATATATTGACAATTTCAATTTTTTGTAACGCAAGGATTGCAAAATTAAACACACGTCATCAACACTCCAAATCAAATGGTCAATAAATTATCAATGAATAACATATATCAATAGCAATTCTACTAACACATAAGAGCAGCTTGCGTTCACGATCAATTTGCATTTTTTTAAAGTATTGTCTTGTCTTGCTCTTGGATCACGAACGCGAAGCGATCCCTATCCCATTCATCGTGTATTATTTGTCATTTTGTTTGGTTTCTTTGAGCTTATCAGGCTTTTTTTTAAGTAAGTGAAAGAAATTTATCATATATACAGAGATGCCAACTTGCTCCGGACAACAAATATATATTTTCAAGAGGTTGTTTATCAATTGTAATTCTTGGTTTAATAAATTCAATTTAGTAGATTTTTATCCACCACTATTTCTAAATAATTCGTAGGCTTAAATAATACACCACTTTATAGTATTTATGTTATGTGATACCTTCTAAAAAGCAAGGAAAAATAGTCTAATATTTGCAAAATTTACTTGTTTTTATTTACCGTTTTTCTAATAATTTAGGCGTGTCCGGAGCAGTTGGCATCTCTGTATATATTCGAGAATTGAATCCTCAGTGGTTGACAAGTAATTAAGAAAATCCTATCATATTCATAAATTAAACAAATTTTAAGCATATATTTTCTACCACTTTCTTCGTTTTATTAGATGTTCCATTAAATGGCTCGTTCGTAAATCGAACTGGTTACTCTCTTGTCATACGTGCAATTACTTCAAAAATTTTGATTTTGAGCTCATCAAAGACCAACATAAAATATAGTCCGGCAACCGCCTTTTTCCTATCCGACGGAGTTTTGTCCCGTAAATTTTGTAAATAGCTGTAAATACTTGTAAATAATTTTGCGCATTTATTATGTATTTCTCCTTTTCTCTAAGGCTATGTGGCTACTGTGCACCTGCGAAGCTCGGGGGTAATACCTCGGGGGGAGGCGAGGCANATAGTACTAATTACATGCTTTACATTTTTAAAAGCAAGCAAATATTGTCAACTATTTGCAAAATTTACTTTGTAGTTATTTACTGTTTAATTTATTATTTTGGCATCTCTGTAATAACATAACGTTAACTTGCGAACTTGTTTGCTCCAATATTGCTTGATAGGCCAGCTGTGATAGTATAGGAGCCTTACGTGTGAAGGCTTTCAGTTACAGGAGACATTGATTTCGTCCACTTTTCACATTTTAGTCGCTTGCGGCATCCTTGTGTCTAAGCTTTGCCAAATATGAATTAATATTTCTGCTTACTGTTTACAAATGCAATTTGATTGTCAGAAGGTTGCTAACATCTCTCCTTTCTGAAGTACTAATATCAATAGAGTAACTATCCACGTTATCGGAAATCTTTTTCTATATTGCCCTGCAAAATTTAAATGCTTAATTTATAAAAATCAGTTGTATTTTCGAACAAAACATCAGAAACCGACATTTTGAAAATGTTATAGCGAATAGAAAATATGGAAATCTGATGGTGTAAAGTCGAGCACTTATTATGAGTGATTGAAATACTCCTACCTTATTCATTAAATTTTACATGATAATTCAAGATCCCACTAAGCAAAGCAATACCTGAAAAAAACACGAATATGGGTGGGGGGAAAAGTCAGGTGAATAGAATAATAGAATCTCTAAGGTGAATATAATAAAGAAATGTGCTGATATTCATAATAAATATTTTGCAGTGAATTCACTTAGTGAAAAAACTTATGAATGAAACATCTGTATACATCTGAATAACTCAACGAATTTTCGCAATATTCCGATCATGTTTTGTATTTTGGCAAGCTGAAATATGAAGTAAAACAAAATATTACCCCTTATTATTTAATTGCTTGCGTTTATATTAATTTAAATAATTTCAAAATATAAAAAGAGAGATTTATTTTCGTATCCAAACAATACTTTGTTTCATTTAAGAATACCAGACATAGATAAGTAGATAAAAATGTAAATTTGAAATAGGTATCCAATATTATGATTGCTGTTCAGAAATTACTATAAGTAGGGCTTTTCCTCTTCTTTTTTTTTCGTGCTGCTCTATTTGAAGGAGAATGTTTAGCGTCCTCTGCTGTAAAAATCACCATCAATAACTTTTTTTTAATTCAAAAAATATCATCTTTTTGTTTTCTTCTATTATCATTGTTTTTCTTCTTAAGAATATGGAAGTATAATGTGCTAGCTCTTTTATTTAACCATTCAGTATTTTTAAAATGTATTTTAAACTAGATACTTTGCTATGTTACCTTCCCTGATTTATAGCAAGGTCCTACCTAATTATATCGTAAGGTCTTATTGTAAGACCTTCGAAATATTTCCTTAGCACTTTACTGATTGAAATCCGACTAACAGTTTAAAAGTCAAATGGTGATCGGTTTCTTAACATCCCTTACTTCATCCCCTTGCATACATAATCACTAGAAAATTCAAAACAGGCGAAGTAATAAAGTGCATAGTGAAAACTTCGCACGCTTAACGCTCAAGAATTTCAGAATAAATGGCTTTCTCTGTTGAGAAGTCACAGGTTTGTCTAGTTCTTCTTATTTCTGCTAGATGGCAACACCTCCTTGACACCGAAAATCCATAGAGCTTCATTTCGCACTGGTACCTTGTCAAAATCAACAAAAACAGCATTAAACTGTAACTGAAGAAAATAAAACAATCTTTGAAAGATAATACTAATAACGTTAATTGGTTCTAATTAGTCACAACAAAAGTAAAAGATAAATTTATTAGACCTCCTTTACAGCTTTACTGAAACTCCAAAAGATGGCGTACTTATATGGGGAAATAAGTTATTCATATCCTCATTGGTTCACTTTGATAGACTTCATTGTGACGTTATGGTCGGCTGTGGAGGCAATTACTTCTTAAATATCACTAGAGGCAAAGCTGAAATATTTGTCTATTGAGCAGTTAATATGACGTCAGTTTTCAAAAGTTGCCGTCACATGTCAACAAAAGTTTAAATGCCCGTCTTCTATGATAATTTAAGATATGATAAAGGAAGTTTAGGAGCAGTCGGCATAACTTTGTAATTTACGTATCACTTTTGTTGAACTTTTAAAAAAAACTGAAAGCTCTATTTTGTTGAGGTAATTAGTTTTCTTCTGAAAAGTATTTTTCTTTTTAATCTCATACGAAAATATTTCTGGTATTCATTTTTCTGTCATATTTTGTAGATATTTGTGAATTGCTTGTATCTGATAAATTATTTTATCTTTATGTTATGTGATAGAACTTCTTAACATGTCAATAATTTGATTCAGAAGTGAGGAATTTTGTAGTTCTGGAGTAACTCGTAAATATTTTATTCTAATTTATCTTATAATATTCGCTAGTGCACCAAGATAAAAAACATGCTTTACATGCTGTTTTTCCGAGAAACATGCTTTTGTGAGAATAGATGGCTACATAGAATTTTTTTCTGCTTTCACTTAAGACTCTTTCCTATTTTTTAATACACACGGAAGCATAGCTTTTAAAAAAAAACTGTGCTATTAAATGTGCTCATTTTGTTTAATATTCGGGAAGCTGTGTTGAAGGCAAGAATTTCATTTCACAAAGAACGACAATAGTTTCACTCTGAGTATTGCTGACTAAGAACGTAATGCAAGAAATTGCATTATAAAAAAAAGAAAACTATAAATATCTATTAAGGAACTTAAATTTCACATATTAAATTACATAAAAAATAACTTGGAATGGTTTTAAAAATTATTACTATAAATTGATGCAATTTTGATCTTGACATGTGTTTAAAAAAAGCCAAAAATGTGAATAAAGCACAAATAATGACACAAAACTGATCATTCAGTAAGTACATTATTTGAGCTTTATTCTTGTTCAGTTTTTTTTCTTCATGCGTAAGACAAAATATGCCCTGTTTTATTTGATTAATGTGTGTTATTGTGTAATTAACTTAGAGATGGTTATAGTAATGCATATTTTCACCCTTATGCAACTGAAATGCAAATCTATAATTAGAAACTCTTATTCTTCGATTGCTATTCTATCATAACTGGTTATTTCCATTGAACTGTAATATTACATCATAATCAGATTGCAACGGTTATACATTGAGAAAATGTATCCTTTTTTTATACGTCACACATGCAATATTCTTTCTTTACCGAAATTTATAAGTATTTTAGCAAATGTGGTTTGGGGAAGATTCTCTTACTGTGACTTTTGGATTAGCGTCTGTGTGCTCATAGTTTTGGTGTTATAATATATATATATGTGTGTGTCTGTAATTTGTGGAGATTCAATGCCATAGAGTAATAACTGCGAACATTGCGTCATCCACCATCATGAAATACTTAAAGATAGTTACATCATCCTCCTTGTCATTGAGAGGTTCCAGCAATTCCCGATAGGAAACTCCTGAATTTATAATTAACTCTTGACTTTATACCATAGAACAATCTAATGCGGCACTAACTCCCACAAATAATGGTGGCTTGCGACTGGAATATGAACAACGAGCTGTAACTATTTCTGAACTTTGAAATCCCGAACAGGGGATTTTTCAGCCAAATAGCTTTTGAAATCACAATAAGGGGATATTCACCGAAAAGTGAAATTCTACTCTCGTGTAGGAGCTGTAGATTTTGTTCCTGTTTTAAATCCCGTGTAGGGGAATCACCAAAATTCTACGCTCTAGTGGAGGAGCAGTTTATCAAATTAACATTCACTCAAATGTTGTTCCTGTGTAAAATTCCGTCTTGAATCCGCCGAGTAGGCCAATTGGAATCCACAAATTTTCCAGAGTCATACTAATCGAGAGCAGAGAAGTGCAGACAAAAAATCAGCGACTGGAGAAAAGCAGCAGAGATTTTTTAACACTCCGAAATTAGCAATAACTGAATCTGTTGTGAAGGACAGCGTTGCTTCAGAAACATTCTGAAACCATTGGAATATTTTGTGCAAATCATAAGGGCAGTCAACTTTTTCGGGAAGTATAGCAATCGGTGAAATCCTTGGACTCACCCAAAAGGGAAGAGAGATAAATCATCTGGTTTGAATCAACGAAATATTGGATTACCATTGGACACTGGGAGTCTCTTCAATCAAGGTAACTGTGTCTGAAAATGAGGACATTCTGCTGGCAGGATGGCCGAATATTATGGATATTCAGTGCCATAGAGTAATAACTGTGAACATTGCGTCATCCACCAGCTCCTGTGAAAATCGTGAAATACTTTAAGATAGTTACATCATCCTCTTGGTCATTGAGAGGCGCCAGCAAGTCCCGATGGGAAACTCCCAAATTTATAATTAGCTCTTGACTTTATACCATAGAATAGTCTAATGCTGCACTAACTCCCACATACATACATGTGTCTGTAATTATGTGATATATTACTTAAACTCTTCAAATATTATATAGTATGTATGGTAAAATAGAAGTAAAAAATTATTTTAATTTAGAATAATTATATAATCATCTTTGGATAAAGTGAAGATGAGTTTTCAATTTTAAGATTTCCTTTATTAAAAATTTAAGCTCTCATAATTATTTGTTTTAAACTTTTTATAATGTGATGAAAATATTTTTAACATTCATCTTATATAATAATCCGTAATTCTCAATATTTTGACTACTTCAAAATATTTATGCATTTAAAAAGGCTTAGCTAACCTGGTAAAAAAAATGTGAATTTAAGTCAAAAATATTTTGTTTGTAAGAATTATATTGATATAACACAATTTTAATTTCAGTTCTCTCCGTAAGCATTTTTAGAAGGGCGGCCTGCCCGACGTATGATCTCCATAAATATGCCCTATTTGTAAAAATAAAGCCACCATTCCTTAAAAACACTGCCTTTTTATTTTATTTTTTCAGGAAAAGGTTATTTTCTTAATTACCTGTTTCAATGAAAAGTCCACTTCTGATTTATTTAGTTATTGATAATTATTTAACTTAAATTTTTAATTTCTTTATATTAGCAAACTATTTCTTATGCTATCTAGTTATGTAGTTAAAATTTGCTTGATTTTCAACCCCAGAGATAATCAATTCTTTTATTTGGAGGTATATTGATGAATTATTTAGTGATTTTTGAATTTTACCATTTTTTTTATTAAATAAAAACCTTTTATTTAAAAATGCACCTTTTTTTAAATATTTATTTTCTCATAATTTTCAGTTTCAAATAAAAAGAAAGCTTTAGAGTTTATCAATTCATCTTTTTTTTTTAAAGAAAATTTCTACACAGAAATTGTCTTCTAGCTTAACTTTAATTATTTTTCAAAAGCTCCAAATTTTTCTATTTCAATAATTAATGAAAATTATTTTGTGACATGTGCACATTAAGTAGTATAAGAGGGTAATCGAATAATCTCAATTTATTTTTTAAATTGGTAATTATTATTAAATTGGTAGTAAATTACCAATTTAAATTAATAGTGACTACCAATGAAGATTGAATTGTAATTTTGCATTTCTATCTATAAATTATTTTATAAATGTCAATAAGTAATGTGATACATTTCTATCTCTTATATTGAAATTTATTACATTATTGAACTAGCACATTATTTACATAAAATTGTCTCTGAGTTGAATTAAACATTTTGCCAAGTTTTTATTTTCTTATCACTTGATTTTGTCCTTTACTGCCATTAAAAGAAGAGTATCTGCCTTGTGATTGGTCAGAAACAGTTAAACTTAGTCATCAAACTCAAGCTTGTCACATGATAAACATTTATAATGCTACAGTTGTATCAAAAAGGACATTTTTTTTTTTTTAATTTTTTTTTTTAGTGAATCAAGTGAAAACCAGAAGTTAGATCAAATTTTGTTTCACTTTCATAAGGTCCTTTTTTCTCTTCAAGCTTGCATTAAGTCATACAATTTTGAATATTTTTTTCTTCTTTAAACATGGTGTTAAAAAAATATTTTGCATTTTTAAAATTGAATTCACTCATTAAAACTATTTTTTAAGTGCTCAATTTTGTGTGTTACTTAATAAATTTATTTATTTTCATAAAACTTTGATAATTTTTTCTAGTTCCTTTTGAATAACAAGATCCTATGGCTGCTCTACTTCGAGGTATGAAATTTCATCAAAATATATTTCTTTTTATTTTAACCCTCTGAGTGTAATTTCAGTGCTTTTCTTCTGGTCTTCTCTTTAAAAAAAAAAAAACTGGTCTTTATGAAATCAATCTCTCTTTTTCTAAATCGGATCTCTATGAAAATCTGGTCTTCTCTATGTTATTTAACAGGCAATATTGAATATAATTTTACTTCACTGTCCCAAATTATACATTTTTTCAAAATACATATTGGTGTTTTTACAATGGCATGATTAAGAACAAAATGTTTATAGTAATTTAAAAAAATTATATATGATTTTTTACATTTTATGAATAATATTGTTTTCTTTAAAAAATAATTTACTTTAGTAAATGTTTAATTTAAGAGTTTCTTATTGAAATATTGGGTTAGTCTTGTGTAACTTGTGGATAGTCTTATAAAATAAAAAAAATTAAAACCAAGCTAACTTTTAAATTTTTTATAGAAAAGAATTTTCAATGTATTAAAAAATATTTTAAACCAAAATTATTATGAATTTGTCTTTATTTCATTGTTATTAATTTTTCAGGTGTATTTATTATTGGTGCTAAAAGAACCCCATTTGGAACATTTGGGGGTAAACTTAGAGATCTTACTGCCACTCGTTTAGGTGCTATTGCTAGTAGAGCTGCATTAGAGAATGCAGGTATAAAGCCTGATGAGGTTAACTCTGTTACCTTTGGAACTGTTCTTCAGGTATTCCATACTTACCTTTTTCTACAGCACTTGTTACAGAGTGCATAGCGTTTTCAAAAAGTGCTTAAAGGTGCTTGTTTTTTATTTACGTCTTTTAAAAGCCCTATTTTTATTCTTGGTTTGTGAAAAGTGCTTAATTTTCTATCTTTTAAAAGAGATTTTTTTTTTTTTTATTGTTGTCATAAATTACAAAAAATGCATGAGTTTCACAATTTTTTCTGCAATATTTATCAGAAACTAGTTATTTTATCATGATTATGTAAAGTTTTTAAAAATGTTTTTGATTTTTTTGTTGAAAAATCTGGCTACGCACCCTGTTATTATATTATATGTTATTATTATTTACTAGACTAAAATTTTTATTTTTTTCAGCATTTCTATGCAAGCATGATTCTTACTTTTTGATATTTCATGACTAAAGTATCAAGTTAATAATAATTTTAGATTAGAAAATAAATAGTTAAGCATTCATTACTAGAAGTGATAATTTGTGATTAAAGAATCATTTGTGTTTGATCCTAACAAATGTCAACTACATCTTCCGTTGAAATTTCAAAAATTTAGTATACAGGACTGTGAAAAACTTATGCCTGCAATAGTCTTTCTAGTCTCATCTCTAAAATTTCAAAATTAATTTCCAGCCAATTAATTAGTTTTATTACTTTCAGATCAGATCCATTGTATTAAACAGAATGATAACAAGAAATCAATTTATTGTTTAAGCTAAGAAACTTACTAATATTTAAAAATAATTGACACTATTTCCCTGGACCATTATTTTTTTTTTTTTTTTTTTTTTTTTTTTTTTTTTTTACAATCTGTATTTTTTCTTGACGTTCTTCTGCAGATTCAATTTGTATTATCATTACATCATTTCTTTTGAAAAATGTTTCTCTTATCTTGACTTTATTTCTGAAACACTGATTAATTTGAAATTACGTAGTGCAGCATCCTTCAACAAAGTTTATAATTGAAAAGTTTTAGATTATCTTAAACATTGAAAACCAAATAATTATAAATATTTTTTGCATGAAATTATCCTCGAAGCGAATATAATAGTAAAAAAAAATTTATTTCTGCATAGAGATGTTAAGAAAGGGGTAAATATATCTTTTTAGAACCATACATACTTAAATACTTTTTTTTTTTTGCTTAACTAATGCAATCTTTTCAAGTTTGAGGCACTAAATTATTTATTTTGTGGACTAATAATCTTGTTGTTGTACTTGGTTTTATATCTTTGTTTACAATAGTTGACAGATACTAATACAAACAATTCTAATTTTACTACTTTATTCTAACAGTTCATATAAATTTCCTTTACAGGCTAGCTCTAGGGATGGTCCATATATTTCTAGACATGTTGCTCTAAGTGCTGGAGTTCCCGAATCTGTTCCTTGCCTTACAGTTAATCGACTTTGTGGTTCAGGATTCCAGTCAATCATCACAGGTTCTCAAGTGAGTATTTAAACTAATTTACATTTCTGTAATAAACTGGATATTATTCAATAGGCCTTTAAAGTAGATTTTCTCTAAATGTATGATCAAAAGCCTTTAGAAAGCAAAATTAAATTTTAATAATGTCATAATTTGCCTCTATCATTGTATGAGCTATTTTATAACCGACGTTAGGAAATCTACCCAATTTTCAGTTTACAAATAAGAATGTTTAACTCCGTAGCCTTGTAAGTTTAAACCCAATCCAGAAAATGTAAGAACTCCTGGATTCAGTATTTGGAGAAATTGCCCTTCGTGGAGGACTTTTTAATGGAACTGACCCGTATTTGCTTTACATGGATTGTATGATTTAGTTATTTTATAACCGTCGTTGAACAGCCGACCCAATTTTGAGTTTAGGACTACCAATGTTCCTCTCTGTAGTCTCATAATTTTGAACCCAATATCCTTCATTGAGGACTTTTTGTTGGAACTGATCCGCGTCTGCATTATATGGAGAGGTAAACCTCCCACAATTAGCTCGATGGCAAAAGGATTCTTATCCAAGATACATCGAGGATTAAAAGTATTTTATGTCTGCACAGTTGTCAGTCAGTGTAAGTCAAGTGCAAAATTTGTAATGTTTTTTTTTTTTCAAGAGCTTAAATGTAGATAAGATTTAATTTCATATTTGAATGTGTTCTATGTAGTGTGCTAAATTTGCTGTTTTATTTTCAATATATTACAATTATACCCATTTAATTTTATACTCATTTTTTTCAATACAAGTAATTTTAAAACTTATTAAGTATGTAGTTAAGGTATCTACTTGTAAATAAGAAATAAAGACTTGTTCTGCCAAGAAAAATGTATTTTTAAAAATGTTTTGTGATCTAAATTAATTCATTTTTCATTCGATGTGTTCTGCCTTTGCAATTAAATGTTTTTAGTTTGATAAAAAAAAATAACTGACTTCTTTTATTCAGTAATTAGTTTGCAATAATTATATTAACCCTTAAATAATTATATTAACCTTTTTTTATTAGTGATATTAAGAATTTTAGTTGCAGTATTATTATTAAATAATAAGTATCATTTATACATTTTGTCAGTTTTAATCGTAAAATGCGAAAACAATAAAAAATAATTCTGTTTGAAATAAAACAAATGAAATGTGTAATACATACCTTGTCAAACAAAACATGATTTTTATTAACCATGATAAAATGTCTCAATGTTTTGCCCAGGACTTGTAAGACCCTGAGCACGTGTCTGACACACACATAGGAGGTTTGTCATTTATATTAATTAACAAAATTAAAATGTCAAAGATATAAATAATTAATCTTTGGTAAGAACTCTTAATGCTATGATTCGCCACTTCTCTATACTTCACAGTTTGCATGACTCATTTTTCCCCTTTCTCTTTTGGAAGCATTCAAGTGTGACAATATATTCTTGATTGTTTAAAAACAGGGGTGTTTTATTGTTGTTATTCTCATTGTAAGTTTTGCCTTTCTATATGATGTTATATTCAAATCTGAATATGTTGGCAGTAACAGTATTCTGTCCCACTAAATCATGTTATTTATTCTTAATTTTAAAACACTCTTTTCATGGATTGTTTTTTTCCTTCCTTTTTAATTTAAGAGCTAGATTTGTACTTTTATTTTCTATTCATATGCATTGTACAATTATTTTTTTCTTTCGTGAAATGAAGTTGAAATACAAAATAAAATGTTTTCAATTTTCTTTCTTATACTTTGTAAGTAAAGTCTGAATCATGCATACTTATTATGTGTCATCCGATGTTTTTATTATTATTTTATCACTTTCCTTTTTCTTGAACATTTTTTCGTTCCTTCTCTTTTCCATTCTTTCTTGTTTTAACTTTTTTTCAGCTTTTTCTGCTTCTTTAAATTTTTTCCATTTTTCTGAAGTTATAGCTAATAGAATTTTTTTTCTTCTTCTGATTTGACCTTTCTCCTATATTTGGTCAATGTACATGGTCCTTCCAAGTTTCCTTTGGTTTTCCAGTTACGTTTCTAGTTTTCTGCTTGGGTAAAGAGATGGGTTAAATGAGTCTCTCTAAATTTGAGGGAAATCCATCTCTTCTTCAGCAGTGCTTAGTATTTTCTCCCTTTAAGTATTTATTAGAATCATTTGTTTCTTTAACTATCAATGCGTCAAAATTGTTTAAGTCAACATTTCTGACATCAAATGAGAAGCCATGCCAAATCATAGTTCACACACATTGTTCATTCTCTATGAAATCTATTTCCAGTGAAAGCACATACCTGCTCATTTACTGGTTTTAAGATGCTTTCAATATTTTTATTAATATTTTGATGTGTAATATGACTAAAAGTACGTAAGTTTTTCTTTTATTTTCATTAACATGGAAAAATCCCAGTTAGTGAGCATGTGTTCTTTTGTTGGTTTTTCATCATTTGGTAATCCAGTTAATTAATGCTACCAACTCTCAGTATTTGCTTCTACAGAGTTCTCTGCAGGAATAAAAAAAAAGAGCAGGAGGCTTCTTAACAGAAAAGGGCACTCACTTAACACTGTAAAAATTCATCAAAATATGTAATATTATGTAATTACTGAATTTGATCCTCAATAATTTTTAAGTTACCATTTGATGTGGGTATTTCAACAAGTAATTCTCGCTCATTATCAAAGTAAATGAAAAAAATTTAATTTATAAAAAATAATTAAAAGCATGCTAAAAGCAGGGTGCGTAGCGTTTGTAAAAAGTACTTAAAGGTGCTTTTTGGGGGATTTCGTTTTTAAACGCTTTTAAAGGTGCTTTTTTCAGCTGGCGTTTTAAAAGAGTGCTTTTTTTCCGAAATTTTTTTTCTTTCCCTTCAGTGATATCTGGTGGATCCCATGCATTTCACGAAAAATGGGGAGTTTGCTACGTAATCATTCACGCGGACTTCATGTCGTACCCACGTTATGACTTGCGCATGCGCGCACACTTGAAACCGAAACCCGAGTGCTCCAATTCGGATAGAGAATATCAGATCCTTATGAAATGTTTTTCTTTTTAATTTATTTTAATTTTGTTCTTGTTTATTTTATTTTACTTCTAACACTTTTTTTGACGTAGGGGGTACGGGTACTTTTGTTCTGAGTTCAGGGTCAAGTTGAATTCACTCGGTGATGTGGGAAAGTACTGATTGTTTCGATTTACGCCCGTTTCTTTTTGGGGTTTTTTTAACGCTATAACTGTTTATAAAAAATTTTTGTTTTGTCAATTTTGTTTCAATTTTTGTTTTGTCATTGATTGAATATGAATTTTTTGAGTGCTTGAAAATTTTTGTAAAGTGCTTGAAAAGTTTTTAAAAAGTGCTTATTTTTGATTCAAAGATTTGGCTACGCACCCTGTAAAAGGCAATCTCTGCATAAATTATTTTCAAAAAAAGTAAACTTAAAAAATAACTAATTGATAAACAACTTGAAAGATTTTTTTTCTGTAATTTAAGCTGAAAATTATAAGAAAATGAACATTTAAAAGTGCCTTTTTTTATTTAAAAAAAAGGTATTTATTTCAAAATGTAATTTTTTATAAAAAATAAAAAAAAGGGTTTAATTTTAAAATCACCTAAAAAAATTCATGTAACCCCCCCCCCCCCAAAAAAAGAGAAATTTATAAAAATTTAACCAGTTGAGAATAATCCTAACGCAGTAAATATTTGTAATAGTAATCAGAATTAAACCTATACAATTAATTCTACTCTAAGCAGATTACTACAAATAGTTACCTTATTTTGTCAAAGAAACAAGGTGCTGCACTGACTCTTAACAAATTCAAAAACTTTTCCAGAGAGGACCATGAGACTAGGTAATCCAAAGAACCAGGCAGTGTTAAATGACTTCCTAATGTTAGATAGTAAGTTTTGTTGCCAATCAATCTAAAGAAAAGCTTTTTTTAAATCTTATTTTTGAAGGATATCTATTAAATGTTTATTCACTGTTCAGTCTTTAGTTGATTTACCCTACAAAAGATTTGATTAATTACCTATAATATTTTTAAGTGCTGGTGAAACTAAATTGTCATTTCACTTCCACAAAAACTTAAAATTCTACTGTTATGTCTATGACATGATACTATGTATATGTCATGCACCTTTATTAAAATTGTACCAACAATTATTAGAACCTGGTTCCTATCCTTTTTAAAGAATTTTGAAAGTCATCACCTAGTTTCATTCTTTCCTTCCTAATAGCATTGAAAGAAATCATTTTGGTTTTCCGCTACCTCTTGTTTGCTAGTGCCACTCTTTTCTCCCACAAGCTGGCTTTTTTCACCCTTTAGTTTCATTTCTCTACCTTTTCATCAACCTTTATCATATTGGTCTAGGATGACATAAATATTTTTCTTCAATTGCCCAATCAAGAGCAACACTAGGAATTCAATCAGTGTATATTCTTATTGTATGGCCAATAAAATGTCATCTTTTCCCTGTTCTAATCTTGTTTGGATCCATAATCAACCTCAAGGACTACCATTGAACAAACTCAAACTTTCCCCTTTTGACATCCAACATGGGTTTATTTTGAATAACTATTGTATCTTAAAAGATTTTTATTAATTTCCAATAGTTTGCTTTGGAAAGAAGCCAAGCTTTAAAACTCTTCAGTTTAATATAGTGTGTGCAGATTTTGTGTGATTATAAATAATACTTTTTCAAAATTTATTTTTCAAAAAAAAAATTATATGAAATTATTTTGTCTTGGAAAAAAGCTTCTGCGACATTCCCTGTGGTAAACTATTTTCTTACCATGGATAAAACACAGCAATGAATTTAAATTTGTTCCCCCCTTAACCCCTTAATATTTCTGAAAAATGGAGAGAAAAAATTTACTGTTTAATTTTGTTCTTTATATTATTATAAAAGTTAGAAAATGGTTTTTATTACAAGAATAAAATTTTTAATGCAATAACTGCTGTATTTATAATTTTTACATACACATAAAAAAGTAATGGATTACACACACATCTTATTCAATTAGAGCAAATTAAAAAAAAGTTTTGAAGCTAAATATAATATAACTAGTGTAATATAATATAAAAACACAACAGTATGATTTTCAAAACATAAATTTTACAATATGGTATATCCCAAAATCCCCATCCACATTTCCCCTCCTCGACTGAAGTCTTAATCAATGAATAACTAAGACCACTAATGCCATCTATTAGGAAAATAGTGAATAAAGTATCCTAAAGTGGAAACTAACTCAGCTGAGGCTTCACAAAATAGAAACATTAATTTTTCTCCTGCCCGAAGTCAGTTCGGGCATCACTAATACTGCAACTATGTAGTACTTGCCCGCACTGGATTCGTGCGACACTGGCAAGGTGCTAATATTACATGGTAAATGGTGTTTGTTCAATAAATATTTCTGTTTCAATTTTTAATTCTTTAAATATTTTTGGATACTAAAAATTTACTATTGTAAGTTGCTTAGAAAATTTTAATCTATTTGAAACAGCAAGCATCTTTTTTCTCATTCCTGTGATTACTTTTTTTCCCCCAGGAAATATGTCTACGGGAAGCAGAAGTTGTTTTAGCTGGTGGGGCAGAAAACATGAGCCAAGCTCCTTATGCTGTGAGAGATATCAGATTTGGGACTAAATTTGGTACTGACTATAAGGTAAAAATTGCTAAAAAAAATTTTTTTTCTAATTTACTGAATTAGTGATTATAATTATCTTCCTTTTCTAAAATTTAGATGCTATGAAGGAAAACACCAGTGTGTTGATGAATATGTTAAAATTAAGTCCTTACCAAATCTTCTCCAAGAAAAATAAAAAATTGCAGCCTTTTTTTTTTATATTACGATTCTTTATTAAATGTAGGTGCTGGCTACATCAAAAAACTAGACATTGCATGATAAAGATTTTTTTTAGCAGAGAGTTGCTAGTAATCTTTATTAAAAGAGGATATTTATCCTTTTTTTAATAAAGATTACTAGCAACTCTATTAATGTGTTATAAAATTTAAATATCCCAATAAGATATTAGGCTAATATTAAAGGATCGAAAGATTTAAAATAGATTTTTAATAACTAGTATTGTGTCTTAATAAATTGCTTGAAAAAAAATTATCTCTTGAATAAAAAAAATATTAGCTGTTATGGTAAAGAAAGATTAAAAAATAGAATTTGACTTCCACTCATTATGTGAGATTGATTAAAAATTTACTCTTTTTATTTATTGAGAAAAGAACTATTGAACTATTAATACGAAGAAACTATTAACTATTGAACTATTAATAAGAAGATTAGAATATTGAATAAGAAGAAATTTAAGTAATAAAGAAAATTAAAATGCTGAGAAATATGTAATATTTATAATGCTATATTTTATGTAATATTTATAATGCTATATTTTATGTAATATCTATAATGCTATATTTTATGTAATATCTATAATGCTATCTGTCATGCTATATTTTATAGCATGACAGATGCTATAAAATAACCTCATAATCAAAAAATTTTATTCTTTAAGAAAAATTCATTTCTCTCTTTAAAAAGCTAGTCTTAATCTTTAATAATTGAAATTTTAATGTAACTTTGAATATTTATCTTTTGTGCATTATACATTGTGTTAAAAGTAAATGGTTTGTAAGAGCAAATAAAAATCTTTTAACTCATGAGGTTTTGAATGTATGTGTCAGTGACAAAAAAAATTTCTTGAAAATGACAATGCACATAGATTTAAGAAATAGCAATTGGTGTTAGTTTTTTTGGAACTGGAGTATTTTTTATTGTGTTATTACATTGTTTTGATAAAAAAAATTTGTAACAATTATATTATCTTTTTTAATATATGTAGCTTGAAGATACACTATGGAGTTCTGTTTATGACACTTATGTTGATATGCCAATGGCTATTACTGCTGAAAACTTAGCTACAAAGTATAAAATTTCAAGAGAGGAATGTGATAAATTTGCACTTCTCTCACAAAACAGATGGAAACAAGGTGAGAAAAATTTATTTCCTAAGTAAATATTAATGTTAAATTTAATTCTACAGTAGGGAACCGATTATCCGGAACGATCGGGACCATCGCTATTCCAGATAACTGATTTTTCCGTTTTTCTGAATCGCTACAGAAAGCCGTTTGTTTATTCTTAAACCCAACAAAAAAATTTTTTTTTGGAAATAATCTTAAAAAGAAGAGAAAACGATGAAAGAATACACTAATAATTTCCAAAATGATGGTAAGGTAAACATCTTTCAAAAAAAGAAAAAAAAATCCTAAAATCTTATGAGGAAAAAAAATTTTTTTTTTAAAAATAGGCGCNAAAATTTTTTTCTTCAAAATGGCGCGAAAATTTATCGAATTTTGTTCCGGTTTTTTGGTATTCCGGCTTTCTGATTTCCGGATAACGGGTTCTGTACTGTATTTGTTTTAAACTTTTAGTTAATTAAGAGATCTTACTTAAGAATCTGAAAACATTTCGTACAAAGTTTTTTCCTATATTGTAATAGAATATAATTTGAATTAGTGCTAAGCAAAGGGAAAAAAGACAATAGAAGAAAGAACAAAAAATAAGCAATTTAAGAAGGAATAAAGTTTATTTCAATAATTAAACAAGAATATGGTTTAAATTTACAAAGATTAATTATAAAATGAATTGGAATAGAATTTTTTTTTCAAATAGTCAACAATATTTAAATTCAGGATATCTGCGCACCTGGAACGTCATGAGAAATCCTGGAAAGTATTGTCATGATTTTAACCATTTTTTTAAAAAAAAATCATGGAAAGTCTTTGATTTAGGCTGCCGAAAAATCTAATTTTTAAAATGGAATTTATCCCCCCCCCCCAATTTCATGGTGTTCCGAATATCTGAATTTGTTGCAAAATTCCCACTCACAGTCATATTTTATTCAAATATAAAATGTTTTGATCATGTTCTTTAAAAATTATGGTGTTCTTTCAAAAAATAAAAGAAAAAACATCATTTCTAGAGCGAATTATGTTTTAAACTTCTGTGATTTCAGAATTTTTGTTATTTATTTCATCAATTTAAAATTCTAGCTGAAGCAAGCCAGTCATTGGCGAATTTTTTTTTATTCCGAAATGAGAGCAGAAAAATTGGGACTATTTCTTTCCTTTCCAATGAACAAAAAAGAATCTTTAGAATATAATTCTGCAGGGAAAAAAATAATTTGATTTTTTTTCAGCTATTTTATTGCTTCAATTTTTTCTTTACTCTGTTTTTTTAATTTAAAATCTATAAATATGAAGGTGCAGAGTATAACAGTTTTGGTTATACCTATCATTTCAATTAATGTTATTATAATGCTTTTTTAAATTTATTGTTGCTTTTCTGTTGGAGAAAGTAACTTCATTAAGTCATGACAAATTCTTGGAATTAGTCATGAATTTGAAAATCTAAAATGTAGCAGTAAATGTATCCTGTAAAATATTTGCTACAGAATGACAAAATATTTCATAAAGTTCAGTTGCGAACAGAATTATTATGCTGATGCAATTTAAAATTATTATGAAATATGTTAGCATAAAATTGATTCAAAAGTTTTTATGTATATTATTTTCCTAGAGCTGTGATGTAAATAGGGTGAGTGTTGCAGGATGATTGTCTCAAGAATGAAACCATGTGACTGGTGGACAATTAAAGAAGGGGGGGGGGATTTTCCACCTTCCATTTCTTGTTAGTTAGAAATATAATCTATGGACAGATTTTATCTAAAAAAAGTCTTAAAATATGATCTTTTTTTTTTTATTCTGCATTTGGTTGTTTAAAAAAAATTTGTAAAGGGAGTACCTTATACATTTCATAGGTAAGTTACTTAATAATTTAAATTTTAGCATGTACTTTTCCTTAAAACAACATTTTAATCTAAATTATTCTATTTTATTCATTTTAATATCCAAATTTATTTTATTAATTATGAATATAAAAAGGAAGAAAGCAACTTACTTAATCATAAAGTAGTGATTATACAGAATTATTCATTGTTAATATATCATTTTTTTTTTAAATTTCCGTTATAAAATGTACAAGGCATTGTTTGGCAGCATCATTGTTTTTATTTCCTGTATTTACCTTTTTTTTTTTTTTAAATTATTTTTTAACTTTCTCTCATCTGAAGAGTTTTTTGGCAACTCTGCTTTTGAAAGAGAAAAATCCTTCAATAATTTTTAAATTCAGAAACTTGTGTTGGGTTTGTTTAGTTCATAAAATACATTAGTTCAGAGAAAATCGAGACTATAAATGATTATCAAAAAACTATTTGATAAATAGGGCTATGTTTTTTAACACTTATTAACTCTTTGATGAAATTGTAGATCTTTTTTTGAAATAGTGAGTTTTTTTTCAATTGTAATAATATGGGGAAAAAATCATGAGTACTGGCTGATTAACCGTACTTTAACAAGTGTAAAGTTTAAATAAGATCAGAAAGTTTTAAAGAGGAAGGTAGTTTATTTTTTTATAGGTCATGTTGGACTTTTTTTATTCTTAATTTTAATATAATTCTTTCACTCCCTGGCATGTCTAAAGTCATTTTTAGAGTATATTTTCAAAAATTCTAAGTATCTGAAAAAATATCTATGATTTTACAAGATGTTGTACTATTGTAAAGTCTATGTTTGATTTAATTTTAAACGCAATTTTTCATACCATCCTTCATAATTGATAAATTGTTGAAAAAATTTATGAAATAACAGAGTTATAAAATAACTTCAGGTGCTTGGTGTTTCGAGCCTTATTACTAGAATCATTCAAAAATTAAATTTTTCTTAATTTTGTAAAAGTATTAAAATTTCTTACAGTGATATAACTATTAAAAAATTTTAATTCTAAAATACAGGGATGTGATTCTTTTGCGAATTTACGCTTTTTTTTTCTTCAGATTTTTCTATCTTTCCCACTAATTTCTGCAGAAAGTTTATTTTTTTTTTTTTTTGCACAAGTTAAAATATTTTATGAGGAATTTAATTTTATGTGGAGCAAGAGCAAAAGTATTGAAATCCTCATCCCTCCCTCTGAAGTTTCTCTAAAAATCATTTCCTTAGGATAAAACTGGTTGACCTTTATGAGATTTTTCCTCTTTTTAGCGGATTTTGGCTTTTATCACTTGAATTTCAGCCTTTTTATCAAAAACTCCGATTCTTTAAAAGTTTTTTTTTTATAAATATCCCGCTTTTTTTTGTGAAAATTCAGTTGAACATTGTATATGGATTAATCAGGGTTTCCGCTACGGTAGCTTTTTTCGCAAAATGCGANTTTATGAGATTTTTCCTCTTTTTAGCGGATTTTGGCTTTTATCACTTGAATTTCAGCCTTTTTATCAAAAACTCCGATTCTCTAAAAGTTTGTTTTTTTTTTATAAATATCCCGCTTTTTTTTTGTGAAAATTCAGTTGAACATTGTATATGGATTAATATTTCCAATAAAGCCATATGTAACAACAACAACATATTTTAGGGTGGCCACCCACCTTGAAAACCTGGAATTATCAGGGAATTTTTTTATACTAGAAAAAACCTGGAAAAGTCAGGGAAATTTTGGCAAAAAACTGGAAAGTCAGAGAATTTTAAAGAAAACCTGGAATATTTCTCTTAATTTGAATTATTTTACCATCTGTTTAATCCACTTTTATTTAGACGTAAATTTATCGTAAAAAAAGTTGAAATAGCATCAACTCAGCAATACTTTTCTTGCATTTCTGACTCTTAAGTAAAAAATTTCAAATTAATTGTGTACCATGTTTCACAAACAACTGCATAGAATTTTTTATTCAAATGACAGCTTCAAATTTCAGTCAAGTTTGCATCTGAATTACAAACAAATTCACAGAGTTTAGACAATTTGTAATTTAGTAATAATTTTTTGCTTTCTTGCGATTTACATCCGACATCAACAATTTAATCCATTTAATTTGAACTTATAATAATCAGTTTTTATAAAACATAAATTCTTTTTCCATAGGTTATGATAAACTAAATTTTTAAATGTAAAAATTTGATGGGTTATGATAAACTAAATTTTTAAATGTAAAAATTTGATGATTGTAAACTTTTGTTTTATAAGATAGTTTTTCTAAGAAATTAGTGTTAATTTTTTCCCCCCAACATCATGGAATTCCCCAGGTGTAAAAACAAAAACAATTAACTCATCTAAGCTAGGAAATCATGTTAGATTGGAATTCTTAATATATTCTAATTTCTAATAAGAAAAAAAAGAATAACATTTAAAGTATTTTATCTAGTTTTTTTCCTATAGAATATGCAACAAGAAATTTGACAATTTTTCCTTTACGAATAATGAATATCTCTTATAGTGCTAATTCAACACAAATAACATTATTTAAACATATGACTTATGATATTGGTTTAAAGAAAATTATTTCAATGAATTTTATAAAAAGCACTGTTTGAATAAAATACAGTATTGGCTCTATATTGAAATTTAAATAAACTTAAAAATTTATTTGTTTCTAATCACCTGGAATTATTTTTATTTTGCTTATAAAAATATATTAAACCGTACTTATCCAAGTTTGTTTTGGGTCATTGCTATTTGGTACATTTTGTGCAGAAACTATTTAACACTTAAATTTTTATTCATTGAAAGCTTATTTTCTGCAAGCTAAACATATTGTTTCCTCCACATCTATTCAAAATGATATATTAAAAAAAGAATATTTTGAATGAAATACTACACTATTGACTAATACACTAACTTTGCCCCTTTTCTTGTATCTATACTACACTTTAGCAGAGAGAAAAACACACTGACCTGGAAATTTTCTGATTTTTACTGGAAAAATCAGGGAAATTTGATCCCTGATTTGAGTGGCCACCCTGTATTTATTTACAATTTTCAAAGATAAACACAAAATTCAAACTACGTCCTAGCTGCTAACCCTTCCGCCTTTTTACTTATTTTAGCTACAGAAAATAAGATTTTCCGTATTTTTATCCGTCCGCCGGATAGCTCGTATTTTCTTATTTCAGACGTCGCTGCTTCCTGTTTTTTGGTGTGAAAGCAAACTATAAAAAAAAATGAAGGTGGATTTGCTGCGAAAATATTTATTTGCTCATTCAATTAATCTTGTAAATTTTTATTTATTATGTCTAAACAAAAACAATACAAACAAGCCTTTTAGAAATCCCAAGTTCAGACTCTGCGAATATCTTGATTCTTATTCATGCAATTTTAATATCAATCATCGATTTTCGTATTTACCTGAGTTAAAAGTTGTGCATTGTAATTCTTATCTACGCTATTTAAATATCGTACATTATGATTCTTATTTACGAGATTTGAAAATCTAATATCGCGATTTGTATTTATGCATTTTTAAAATCGCGATTTTTTTTTCTATCAAGCATCTATTTTTGTATTTATTTATCTGATTTTAAAAGTTGGATGTTGTGATTATTATTCAGGTGATTCAAATATCCTACATTGCATTCTTATTTACGAGATTTAAAAATCCAATATTGTGATTTATATTTACGCGCTTTTAAAACCCTGTGTAGCGATTCGTATTCACGCATATTTGTATTAAAATCCAATGTCGTGATTCGTTTTTGCGGTTGTAATATCAAACATAGATTTTCGTATTTATACATGCTTTAAAAATTAGACATTGGCATTCGTATTCGCGCAATTTAAAAAGTATGCATCGTGATTCGTATTCAGGGAGATGTATAAGCATGTCTTCTGTTTAACATAGCCTTAGAAAAAGTTATTAGAGAAGCTGGCATAAATACTATAGGTACTATATTTAATAAATTAGTGCAGATTTTGGCATACACCGATGATGCAGACATCATCGCAAGATCTAGGACTGCACTGAGTGAAGAAATTTTGGCACTGGGAAAATCAACTAGTAAAATGAACTTAAGAGTAAATGTGGAGAAAGCAAAATATATGTATTGTAGTACAATGGAAACCATCCCTGAATTGTTTGAAATAGATTCTTTTAAATTTGAATCTGTAAGAAATTTTACTTATCTAGGATCAGAATTAAACTATGAAAATGACATTAATCCTGAAATCAGAAAAAGAATAATCGCACCCAATCGCTGCTTCTATGGTTTAAGATTATTGTTGAAATTTCACTTAATAAAAAGAAAGACGAAGATTCTACTTTATAAGGTATTAATCAAGTCAGTTTTGACTTATGCTTCAGAGACATGGACTTTAACAGAAAGGGAAGAGATGTTATTAGCAACCTTCAAAAGGAAGGTTCTACGAACCATCTTTGGTGCTATCCTTGATAACAACTGGAGAGAGATATATAATTTTCAAATATATAAGATCTTTAATAGTGATGATATCATTAAATCTATTAAACTAAGTAGAATGAGATGGGCCGGGCATGTAGTGAGAATGAGTCCTGAACAAAGAGCATTAAGAGTCTTTAATGCAACCCCGTCCAATAAAAGGCCAAGAGGAAGGCCCAAAAAGAGATGGAAAGACTGTGTCAATTAGGATTTTAACATCCTAATTGTAAAGAACTGGAAATCAATTGCTGGAAGAAAGGCAGAATGAGGAAGACCCAGGCTCACAAAGGGCTATCGTGCCAATGCTGATGATTCGTATGATTTGTATTTTCTCATTTATTAAATTCAATATAGAGTTTCATATTCACGTGATTTAAAAACCTCTTATCTGGAATCATACTCTCTCAATTTATAATCATGCATGTGATTCTTATTCATATATGTAACATAAAAAGCTTCTATTAATCTTTTTATGTTAGTTTCTTCACTATAAAACAACTCCTATTTTATTACTAATTATTTATTCAAATCGAACTGCTTTCTCACACTTTTAAGAGCCATATCCTGTTTCTAAATCTATTTTTGGCCTAAGTATGCATAAATTTAAATAAAAACATTTTTCCCTTTAAACTTCGTGAGAATAACTCGAACTATTTCTTAAACCAATAGTAATATCTAAGATTTACCTCTTTTCCTTAAATACAGACATTTTCGGATTTTTTGCAAGATTTTCCCTACCAGAAAGACTGATCGCTCATGGACTTTTCTCTTGCCACTCAACAAAGTATGACATAAATAAATTTCTTTCGCTTTCATTAAAATCCTGTGTCTGTTTTCCTGCTCGGTCCGACTGCATCATTTTACATATATATTCATACAATTTTAAAATTAACCATCGGGATTTATAAGCACATGGTTTACAAGTTTTAAAATCGCACTTTTTCTGTCAAATTTTTGAATATGTATATATATGTTGAATTTCCTCTTTTTTAGTTTCTGACTAGTCTCATCCCTGAAAATAGTTTTTAATTTTTCAAGATTTTGCTGAAAAATGATCAACTGTTGCAAGACTGCTTATTTCCTCCAAAATTGCCAAAAAGAAGGAATTTGATTTTTGAAAGAGATAGTAAAATAAAACAGCGTTCTTGCTCTACCTACTATTACAGCTTATATAACTTTTTTTTTCCATGTTAAATGATGCCAACAATTTTTAAATTCAGAAGCTTGGTTTTCTTAGTTCATAAAATAAATTTTTTCTCCGAAAATAGTTGATATAAAAGATTATTAAAAAACTATTTCATAAATTGGCTAAGCTTTTTAACACTTAATTATTGACTCCTTAATAAAATTGTAGAAAACAATTTAAATTATGAAGGTTTTTTAATTGAAATAATACAGGAAAAACAATCACCAAAAAGGAGTCTAATGTTTGGAACAAAGGGAGATAATAAAATTAAACAGTGTTCTTGCTCTGCCTACTATTACAGCTCTATGGTTATTGTGCATTAGAAAAACAAATAATTGTTTAATGAATAATTAATCTTTATATGTTTTATATCTTTATATTTTTAACATCTTTTTCATATTAAGTGATGTACAAAAAAATATTTTATTTATATTGATATGTAGCTCAAGACAATAACCGCTTCAGTGAGGAATTAGTTTCAGTTGCAGTAGTAGTAAAAGGTAAAGATTCTCTCTTGGAAGTTGATGAACATCCTAGACCACAGACAACAATGGAAGGCCTTGCTAAGTTAAAACCAGTCTTCAAAAAAGGGGGAGTTGTTACAGCTGGCAATGCATCAGTATGTAAAAAACTTTTTTTAATTATTTGTATTTAAAAAAATCAATGTACCAAATAGTTTGTGCAGCATTAGCACTTTTCATGTTTCTCTATTTTATCAGATTATTTTTTTTTCTATGGTATATTCTTATATTAACTAATTGTGATTGTGTAAAATTGATAAATTGGTTTGAAAAGTGGATTTAAAGCACCTAATCTAATTAAACTCTCTCACTTCTTGAAAGTGCTTATCTTTGCATCAAAAAAATAGTTCTTTTTTACTTAGATTTTGACCACAATTATGTATAATCAGTTTAAACAAATGTATCAGATCTTTGAATAGGGCAACAAGTTCTCTAATGTTGGCAGATATTAAACAAATTAAGATTTTATTTGTAATTTTGCTACCTTTTTAAACATTGTGAGGTGTTAGAACTTCGGGCTTAACATCTGTGTGTGTGTGTGACTTAACACAGTAAAAGTCTTTTAAAAAAAAGTTTTTATCGTCTGTCTTCGTTTCTTTTCTTTTTTTTTTGTTAGAAATATATTGTGTCATCCTGTTTCTTTTTAATTTGAAAATAGCTAATTGTATCTTCTGTGAGTTGTGGTCGAAACATTCTTCTTATAAAGATTGGCTTGAATCAATTGACAATATAAGGAGAGCAAGATGCAAAACTTGTAACAAGAACATTGATATTGCTCAATATTCTTGTAACCAACTCTAATCATCTCAATATGAGAAGTATTTCTAACCATTTGATGGAATGTGAGTGTTTACCTCAAAAAATCCTTGACAAGATCATTTGTCAATCCATGAAGGATTTTCAAATAACGAAGAAAAAATATTGCTGCTATATCTAAACCAAACCACTATAGAAAGTGGTTTTTCAGTTAATGAGTCCCTAAAAGTGGAAAATTTAAAGGAACGTCTGATACAATAACATATACAATAATGATATGGAGAAAAAAACTGATTAAAGATTTCAAAGTTTAGTGGGGGTCTTCATATCAAAAAGTTGTTGCAATCAGTGGGATCAGATAGACAAAGATACATGTCTTGAAGAAGAAAAGAAATAGCTTATTTATAGCAGCTTCAAAAAGTAGGAGCTTCAAAAGGATTTGAAGGCTTCAAAAAAAGAAAGTTTGAAGTGGAAGATGATACAGCTCAACTAGAGAAATCTATTGATAAATCCACTGAGATGGCAAAAGAAACAAAAGATTTTAGAACTAATGTAAATGCTCTGAAAAAAAGTGCCCATATGAAAAAAAAAAATTTAAAAGAATTGACAACATAATTAAGAAAATTTATAACCTTAACTTTTAATTCTTGTTTATCGATATTATTTATCTTTTTGTCTAATATAATAACTTATATTATTCTACCTGAGATTGCATACCTAAGATCTGCAAAAACTGGTTTAAATATTTTTATGTTTCTTTAATTTTTTTGATGGCTTGCTACGTTTTTATGATTAAAAATTATCTAATTATAATTATCAATGAATACTGCCTAATATCATATTTTGCCACGGCTTAGTTATAATAAAATAGTTATTACTTCCACATTGAAAGAGTGCTAAGGAATATACACCAGAAAGTGTAAATTAGGTTGAATTGTTATAAAGGTTGTTATAATTGTTTAGGTTGAATAAAAAATATTTGATTTTAAATAGTCAGAAGCAAATTTTATGAGATCAAAAGCCATGAACGAAAAAATTAAGTCTCCTTCAAGTAAATTTTGAAACCAAAGTAATTATTTAAAAATATGTTCATTAATTAAAAAAAAACTTTGGTTAACTTTTATTTTAAACAAATTTCAAAAGGATTTTAAATTTTTTTTTATTTAGTTTAAGATAAAACTAAAGTATGTTAAGAGCTTATTTAGGGTTATCAGGGAAATATTATTGGTGTTTGAAGAAATTACTATTTGTTGATTGGAGAAGATTTTTTTTATCAAGGAACTATTTGATAAAGTTGATGATTACTATTAGTTTGATATAGTTGGAGGAAAGGCAATATTAGTAAAAACATTTATCTTGAAGATGTTGATGTAAAGTTTCTGTTGAAGAAGTTGATCTATTTATTTTCAAATGCCGATAGTTAGTTCTAAAAATCAGATTTGATAAACAATAAAGAAAAATGTTTTCCTTCAGAATTATTTTTAAAAAATACATCATGGCCATGTGCAATGGATTACAAAATAAAAAGGCTGCTCCCTTTTATAAGTATAAAGAAATGCATTATTTTTAACATGAAGATTTTTTGTAAAGTAAATGGTCAAACCAATTAGCGAACTCCCCTCCCCGGTCCTAACGCCAAGAATTTAAAATTAAAAGTAACTGAATTGTTTCCAATGGACAGTTAGAAGCATGGGAAGAGATCCTTAGTTGGCAATTTGTGGAAAGATAAAATAGCCGAAAACAAAGCCAACGCCACATTATTAATATTAAATTTTAAATATTGCTTAATCAACAAACAGATCATGAGAATTGATATTACCCTGTAACTGAAACATTTTTGTGGTAAGAGAAATAAAGTAACTTAAGGAATAAAAGATTAAAAATAGATTTTGATGTTTAATTTAGTTGTGAATTAATGAATTATGAATAAGTAAGTAAATTTAGAATTATACATTTGTATTGAATTAAAAAGTTAGCCTTTACATTGATTGTTAAGAAGAGAATAAAATATTTATACATTACAGAACCTCTTATCCGGAAACCAGAAAACCGAAACAAATTCAATAAATTTTCCAACCATTTCTAAAAAAAACACCTGACTCATTGAACACCTGTTTTCTTATCAGCTCAGCCTTAAGCAGGCAGAGTCATAACTAGGGGCTTCTCCCAATAGGAGTCTTCACATCTGTTCATTGCTTAGGGCAGGAGAGTTAAAACAAATAATTTTATTTGTCTTCTTTGATTCCTAGAAATCTCTTAAAGTACTCCCTAACTATTCAGATTATATAACCTATAATTCCTATTTCAGATAAAAAAAAATTTAAAAAATTTCATTAATAATCTTTAAAATTAAAGAAGTGTAAAATTAAAATAAAATTATAAAATTCTGATGCGTCTAAAACAAGTTAAGAAACAAAAAATTTATCATTCTGATGGTAGAAAACTTTTTTTATGAGTGAAATATAGAGAATTATTGTAAAGGTGTAAAATAAAAAGACACAAATTAAATCTTAATAATTAAAATCAAAATATAAATAAGTGTTTGCAGAACAGTACTCAGGGTTGCCACAGGCTACTAAAATGAAACTATTTGCTACTATTTTCGGCTTTAGGCGACTACAGCGACTTTTTTTTTGCCTGAAAAGGCTTAAAAAAAAGCAACTATTTTCAGGAATAGGCGACTATTAGGAGACTTTTTTTACTCTTGGCAAAGTTTTTTCGCAAAAATTAATGTTACTTTTCAGAGCATTAACAAAAGAAAGCAAACTTTTATTACAATCATTTATGTCCTAAGAGCCATAAATTTAAATTTCCATTGGATTTAATAAAGTACTTGTTATATTTTCTCTCTGAGCGGCAGTTTTGTTACTTTTAATTGTTTTTTCCTTCTATTAACATTCATATTTTATTGTAATACGACTTTTATTTAGGTACCTATTTTCTAATATGTATACCTTTTATATTTGTGCAAAACTTTTTTTTAATTGGAGCATAGTTAGGACTGGGCAATAAATCGATGTATCGCAAAATATCGATTTAACGCATATATCAGTAGGCCGGTGTAGTGAGTTTCGTTTTAGGCGATGCATCAGAAATCTGATTTAAGCCGCCGGACTAAGAATACAATTGCGGTTTAACGATTTAATATGCAAGGATCCTTGACCAGGCTAACGCTGTTACCACACTAACGAAGACAATTTTGATTTCGTCTAGCTGCAGAGACATAGATAGCGTTTTGCTATTAGGATGATGTTAGTTTCGTGATGTTGAATGACGAAGAGCGAATTGAATCAGAACTCCCGGTTTCGTGCGAGGATCATCGTTGTAATATAGAACGCAATGCATAGTTTCTTTATGTCCATTTTTGTCTTTGGGATTTTGCGTTTTTTGAAGATTATTTTCAATGGGACTTAAGTCATTTTGCGATCGTTGTGCATTTTATTTCGTCAGAAATAATTGTCTGGTTTCTTGTAAATAGTTTTCAGTGAGACTTTTGCAGCGTTCGTTTCGTTCTGCATTATTTCATAACGATTATTGTCAGTTATTTTTTAGAAACCTACTGTTACTTTGCGATTGCTGCACAATCGCTGTTATCTTAAATTTTCGTTCTGAACTCAATAGATCAAATCATTGATTTTTTCAATTATTGTTTATTTTAAGCGAAACAATTTAATAGGGGTATTTTGTATTTAACTTTGTTATAAAAAGTTAGTTTTTTTAAATTTATTAAATGTAGGTAAGTAATAATTTGATTGTTTTTCAACCAATAAATGCTTAGTCGTTTTTAATTATAAAAAAATTAAAACGAAGCTTACCTTTATTTAATTTGCTTTTATTTTTGAGAAAATGAAAACAAAGTTTTAAAAAAATTTGGCTATTAGTTAAAACAAATTTTTTTTAAAAATTAAATAAAAAGTTTAGTAATGTTTTGAGGTTTCTAATAATTTTACATTAGTACTTAAAGTATTTTTTTAAAATTTTTACTAAAATTCTTTCAATACTTGTTTGTTTTATAATTTGTTAGATAGTCAGTATCATTTTTAAACAAATAGATCTTTAGTTGATTTTATTTTCAAAAATTAAAATAATAATAAACAAGTAAAAATATTTGTACATTTATTAAGTACAGAATTTGACCATTAGTTAATACTACTTCTTATTATTTTAAATAAGTAAATAAAAAAGGGTCTAATGATGTTTCAAAAGCATGTTTTTTTTCAACAAATAATAAAAAAATTTTTTTTCTTCCTAAAGTCAATATTTCTTTGGTTTGTTTTCCACTTCCCTTTTTTTCCTTCTTTTAATTTTTAATGCATGTACGTAAAATAATTTGTTACAGTAT